CCGTATAATCTTTTGTAACTCTCTTGCGTGCTCCTTCTGGGCACTGGACCAGAGCCTTTGTTTTCCTTTAAAAGAAGAGAAACACTCCCAAAATAGAATATTCAGAGGAAACTAGGCTCATATGGAGAATTATACCTTCTCTTTGAAAACTGGAAACGTAGACAGGAAAGAACAGGGGAAATACTTGACTTCATAAAGGGATATTTCTGATGAATTCTGGAGAGAATTGTTTTCATTTTATAGAATTACTAGTTGTGTCACATCCACCACAGAGTAAACATAAGAAACTAAGACCCCATATGTACTCAGTTAGCTGGTCCCTTTCTCATTTTTCCATTTGGAATACCATGGGAGGACACAGTTCAAAGTTATGGAGAGGCAGTGTAGCCTGCTGAATAGTGCATTAGACTGGGATTCATGAGACCTGGATTATATTCCTGGCTCTGCTACTAGCCTGCTAAGGGTCCTTGGACAAGTCACTTCACCTCTCTGTGCTTCATTCGCCCCATCTGTAAAATAAGGATAATGATAGTAATGTCCTTTGTAAAGTGCTTTGAGATCACTGATGTAAAGTTGTATATAACTGACAGGTTTTATTTCTGGTACAGTAGCAGGGGTTAGATTGTTTATATTAACGGTTGTGGATTTAGACTCAGCTGAGGCCTTTTGGATTTTCTTTTGTCATGGTGTGCACTCCCTGGCAAAGCAGTGGATGAAGCAGTATAGATGAAAACCATGCTTGCTTTCTCCCCATAGTTTGGGACAAAGCCAGCCATCTTTCCCAAACCTGAGGGCCCCCTACAAATGGTGTCTCCCCAAACGTGAGCCCTCCTGCCATTTCTGCTAACCCATGCTGGAGGGGCCTCACCTCACCAAACCCACTCTACTCCTCATCTCTCCCCCTGCACCCTTCACTCCCTCCAGTGGTGCAAGTAGAAATCATTTCTTGCCAGTACTGCAATCATGGAAGGGATACAAGGGGGGAGGGCACGTGACCTCCCCACATGACCCTTCATGTGACTCCTCCCCGCCCCGAGCCCCTCCTACAACCCTCTTTGTATATACAAACATCAACATGCTTAACTACTCACTTTCCCCCCAAATATGTAGTATTCAGTCTGTTTATATGGAATCTGGGAGTTGGGTGAGGAGCCATTTCTGCATATGTATAACTTATTAAAAGACAATTTTTAAGTAGAACTCTATCTAAGTAAACTGCTTTATGGTATTGTACCCAAACATTGCATTTCAATGGGGGATTCAACTTCCTTCATAAGAACAGACTCCTGAAACTCTTACCAGGCCACAAAAGTGGTTCATAGTCATGCAAATAGTTTCAAATGATTACCAGTTTACAGGATTAGGTTCCAAGTTTGTAAATTATTCTGGATGAAACTGACAAGCTGTCAGATCAGAAGGAAGTTTATTTGAATAAAGGTGGGCAGATGTGTGATAAGTTTTAGTTCCATTGCTAATATGAGGGACATATTTTCAGCAAAGTTCTTGGCAGATTCCTGAGGCGGCTGGTTTAAGGCTGTCAAGGCTCCTTCCCCACTCTGAACTTTAGGGTACAGATGTGGGGGCCTGCATGAAAACTTCTAAGCTTAACTACCAGCTTAGATCTGGTCCGCTGCCACCACTCCCAATGTGCTAATTCCCTTCCCTGGGTAGTCTTGAGAGACTCTTCACCAATTCCCTGGTGAATACAGATCCAAATCCCTTGGATCTTAAAACAAGGAGAAATTAACCATCCCCCGTCCTTTCTCCCACCAACTCCTGGTGGATCAAGATCCAACCCCCTTGGATCTAAAAACAAGGAAAAATCAATCAGGTTCTTAAAAAGAAGGCTTTTAATTAAAGAAAAAGGTAAAAAACATATCTGTAAAATCAGGATGGAAAATAACTTTACAGGGTAATCAAACTTAAAGGGCCCAGAGGACCCCCCTCTAGCCTTGGGTTCAAAGTTACAGCAAACAGAGGTAAACACCTAGTAAAAGGTACATTTACAAGTTGAGAAAACAAAGATAAAACTAACACACCTTGCATGGCTGTTTACTTACAAGTTTGAAATATGAGAGACTTGTTCAGAAAGATTTGGAGAGCATGGATTGATGTCTGGTCCCTCTCAGTCCCAAGAGCGAACTCTCCCCAAAAACAAAGAGCACAAACAAAAGCCTTCCCCCCACCAAGATTTGAAAGTATCTTGTCCCCTTATTGGTCCTTTGGGTCAGGTGTCAGTCAGGTTACCTGAGCTTCTTAACCCTTTACAGGTAAAAGGATTTTGGAGTCTCTGGCCAGGAGGGATTTTATAGTATTGTACACAGGAGGGCTGTTACCCTTCCCTTTATAGTTATGACAAAGGCATTATAATCTTCACTTATAGTTCTCTCACCTACAAAGCTGGAAAATGAGGCATTTGTTTTCTTTGTTTTGCTGCTCCAATTCCAGTTAACAAAATGCATGTTAGACTAGTTTGGCTGCAAAGAAAAATTCTATGTACACTGGGGACAACACCTGATTCCTGTAAGGCTGCAGAACTGGGCTGACATCAGAATCCAAATATCGTCTGGTCAGTGCAAGCAGAGGCATTCCTCTAATGATTTGGGCTTCATGTGATGCAGTATGGATGTCATGGATAATTCAGACCAATGGGGAGAAACAGAATAAAAAATACTGTTTAAACATCTTCTGTCCCCACCACCCCGCCCCTTTTGAGGACTCCTGACCAATGTAACAGCACAATATATATGCTAACAAACCTTTGTTTAAGTTTGTTAGCACATGTATTGTTCTCAGGGCTGTCCCTAGACATTGTGCCCTACGCAGCCCCAGGCCTCCACGGCGGGGGGGAGGGGGCGGACGGACTACAGGCCTCTGCAGGGGTGGGGGGAGGGCAGCTGTGCCCAAGGTCTGTGGGGGGCAGAAGCAGGCTTCAGGCTTGGGTGGCAGGGGGGAAACCACCCCCCAGCATGAGCCGGTGGAGCGGATTGGGGCTGGGTCGCTCCATTTCCTGTCGCCTGGTGATTGCAGGGCAGGCCCAACCCCGCACTCATGGGGCAACGGGAAGTAGAGTGACCCGTCCCAGCCCGCTCCGCTCTGCTCCCCTGGCTCCCAGACTTGGGGGACAGGGGGAACCACCCCCCAGCACTCACCGGTGGCGCAGAGTGGGCTGGGGCCAGGTTGCTCCACTTCCCGCCGCCCCGTGAGTGCAGACCCCTGATGCAGTCCCCCAGGCAGGGCCGGCTTTAGCAAGAGCGGGGCCCGATTCCTGGGGGCGGGGCTTGCTGCAAGCCCCGCCCCCAGGAATCGAGCCGCGCTCCGGCCGGGGTTGCCGGGCTTGGGTTCGGCCCGGAGCCTCGGGGGCCGGGGCTGGAGCCGCGGGGGCCGGAGCCGGGCTGGGGCCGGAGCCACGCCGCGGGGACCAGGCCGGGCGCGCTGCGGGGACTGGGCCGGAGCCAGGCCGCGCTGGGCCAGAGCCGCGCTGCGGGGGCCGGACTGGAGCCAAGCCGGGACAGAGCCGCTGGGGCCTGTGTGCTCGGCCAGAACGGGCCGCGCCTCCCCGGAGCCCTTCTCGCGCCCCCCGCCACCCCAGCTTACCTGGTGCTGCCTGCCCGCCCCTGCTTCTTTTCAGACTTCCCTTGAAAGCAGGGGAGGGGGCGGAGCGTTCAGGGAAGGAGAGGAGGGGGAAGTGAGCTGAGGGCGGGGTGGGGAAATTTAGGCTTGAAATTAGACGAAGGTTTCTAACCGTCAGAGGGGTGAAATTTTGGAACAGCCTTCCGAGGGAAACGGTGGGGGCGAAAGACCTCTCTGGCTTCAAGATTAGGCTAGATAAGTTTATGGAGGGAATGGTTTGATGGGATAACGTGATTTTAGTCAATTAGGCAATAACGGCCATCGCTGGTAAAATGAGGGTCTGGCTGGAGAATCTTGCCTGTATGCTCGGGGTTCTACTGATCGCCATATTTGGGGTCGGGAAGGAATTTTCCTCCAGGGTAGATTGGCAGAGGTTTTTCGCCTTCCTCCACAGCATAGGGCAGGGGTCGCAAGCTGGAAGATTCTCTGCAACTTGAAGTCTTTAGATCACGATCTGGAGACTTCAACAGCAGAGTTAAGGGAAAGTGGGGGGGTCAGCTTTTGTGGCCTGCATCATGCGGGAGGTCAGACTAGATGACCATATTGGTCCCTTCTGACCTTAAAGTCTATGAGTCTATGAGAGCTGCAGCGCGGGGCACTCTTTGTGTGGGGCCCAATTCAGCCGAATCGGCTGAATCGGCCTAAAGCCGGCCCTGCCCCCAGGATGTAACTCAGGGGAAGGGGTGGAGTGGGAGCAGGGCTGGAGCAGAGCAGGGGTGGGAATAGGCGGGACGGGGTGGAGTAGGGGCAGGGCTGGGGCGGAGCAGGGGTGGGAAGAGGCAGGGCAGGGGCTATGGGGAAGGGGTGGAGTGGGCACGGAGCAGGAGTGGGGACAGCTTTCCTGGCCGTCTCAGCCAGCCCGGGGATTGGGCTGGCCGCTGGAGCAGCATGCAGCTGCATAGGGCACCAGGAAATGTGGAGCACCAAATTTCACTCTGCAGCTGCTGTAGTTTGTGTACGGGTAAGGATGGCCCTGAGTGTGCTGTTAAAGCCATTGGAAGAATGAATGCCCTCCCTAGGGCTCTGCTCCTTTAAAGAGTAGAGCAGCCCAGCCCCAAGTCTTTCCGGTACCCCGTGCCCGCTAAAAATCTCTTGCCAGTACTGTGTACTGGAGGGTACCACCCTACTTGCACCCGGACTCTCTCCCAACCCTGATCCTGTCACGCCCCAGCTGAGCTCTCACCCACCCGGTTCACAATCAGCAGCAGCAAGCCTGCAAGGTGCAGGCTGGGAGTTGTAGTCCACCGCCTCCTGGGCGTCGCAGGGAAGGGGGCAGGGAGACTGCATTTCCCAGCGCGCCACGCGCGCGCATGCGCCTTTGCGTGTCCAGTGGCTGACTGCTGGGCCGGCTGGCCAGCCGGGTTTGTAAGTGTCAGAGGTCGCTGTGCTGCCCCACAGCCGTGCGCTCGGGGAGATGGACGGCTAGAGCCCGCGGCCCTCCGCCTCCTCTTCCCCGCCAGCATGTTCGGCCGCTCCCGCAGCTGGGTGGGCGGTGGGCACGGTAAGGCCGCCCGCAGCATCCACTCCTTGGACCATCTCAAGTAAGTGCGTGTGTCTGTAGGGCCCCCGGGGGGCGTGAGGCGGAGCCTGTGTGGTGGGGGCGGAGGGGCCAAGCAGGTAACGGGGGGCGGAGACCCTGTGGGGCTCAGGTCCGTGGTGTTGGGGGTGCTTGTGGTGTGGCTGGGGGAGCTCGGGCTGAGGGGGGTTGCTCTGTCTCAGCGAGAGTGAGCTCAGGGCTTCACGGGGGCGGAAGGGATCCGTGTGGCTCTATGGCAAGCGGCTCTCGGGGGCTGGGACCTCTTGTGCGGTCGGAGTGTGTGGACTGGGAGATTGAAGAGGCCTGGAGGAGGCTGCAATGGAGGGCTCCAGACTCAGGTGCTGACAAGGCCTTCAGGGGTTTGAGTGGGTCCTGTGGCTCTGGAAGAGTGATGACTACTGGAGGAGTTTCACTCAGGGCTGCGATTGTAAACATGTACCAAGGATGTTCCCTCATTGTCTTACATCTCTTCGTGAATATTCATGTAACTATATTGCTTACAGTCCTCTTGAGTTCTCACAAGTACTAATTAGGTCTCATACATTTCTCCCCCCCCCCCCCCACCCGTTCTGATTTTGCTTTGGAGGTGATTGGATGTTCCTAAGTATCTACAGGGTGGTGATGTAGTGGCACAACATGAAAAGACAAAGCTATGATTTTATAATGCAATAAACTTGTTCTGTAGAACAAAGTCTAAAAGGTGGTAACCTTAGATGAGTACCAGCACTGTAGAGATAGGGGAGATACAGTTAACTGGGTCATGGAAGTGGTGAGAGAGTGGTCCAAAGTTGCACTACAAATAATACAGAGGGTTTGAAAATATCACCTACTAGCCAGAGAACTAAACCTACTGGTGAGGAGGCAAGAAGAAGGTTCTTTCAGCCCAGCCCAGAGGCCAGTGCCCTGGTTAGAGGCCTCAATCCCCATTACCATGTGCTGGGAATCTTGCATGGGAACTATTTTTTAGGTATTAATCTCTGACCAGGGGGTGTCTAATGAATATGAAGTCCCTGCACTGTAACTTTCTGCTGGAAGGGGGAAATAGTTTTCTTCTTGCACAATGACCCTAGATCCTGGGGGCAGTAACAGTGTGTGTATGTGAAGGATGTTCTTTACTCCTTCCCCAGACTCCTGGCTGCTGTAAGAAAACCAGTGAAGTTAAGGTTCTTCTCCCTATTGAATAATTCAGGTGCTGGACTCTAGCTCAAAAATTTCCCCAGTCCTGAGGGAATGAAATTGACCAATTCTTGTTGCCCCCACCTGGTTCTGAAAAAAAGCTTTGAAATTGAATAGCCTTGCTAATTTCACAGTCTGGCAGTTTGGGAAAGCTACAGAAGCAGTAACTGAGTTGTTTTTGGTAGACTGAGACACAACACTGCTTCTGTTTACTTCTGAAAAGTTTTCATTGCAACAGAACAGCCTAGAATGTTTTTAAAATGAAAGCTTACATGTTGCTGTAATTGTTGCTTGCAGTGTTTATTGTAGCTGTATTGGTCCCAGAATATTAGAAGGACAAGGGGATGAGGTAATATCTTTTATTGAAGTAACTTCTATTGGTGAAAGAGACAAGCTTTCTAGCTACACAAAGTTTTTCCTCAAAGACACTAGATTTATGGCTTATTACAACAATGTGTAACCTACCGAAACCCCCTCCTCCCTCTTTTGCCCTATGACTGCAGGGGTGTTAATGTGCCACTTCACCTTGAATGGCTTGTCTACACTTGAAATGCTACTGCAGCACAGCTGCACCACTGTAGCACTTGAATGTAGACATTACTTACGCTGACGGGAGGGGTTAGGTAATCCACCTCCTCTACAGGCAGTAGCTAGGACAACGGCAGAATTCTTCTGTCAATCTAGTGCTGTCTAAATCGGGTTTAGATAGGCTTAACTACGCTGCTCAGGGGTGTGGATTTTTCACACCTTGACCAACATAGTTAAATCAACCTCATTTTCTACTGTTGACCACACCTTAGAATATGTTTTCTTATGCTAAACAATCTGTTCCACCTTGTATTTTAGCTGTGACGCTCTGAGTACCTTTCCCAGACCTGAGAAAGAGCTCTGTGTAAACCTTACCTACCTTGTTGCTGTAATTGATGGCTTTTATTTCCTTATTTGCCAGGAGAAGCTTTCTGCTTGCCAGTGATGAATAGGTGACTGGATTTTTCAAGACTAAGTAATATTAATTACATATTCTAACAAGAAAAATGACAAATTCTCCTGGTCTACCTCTTTCCATTTCAGTATTTTCTCTGGGTGTAGGTATCATTTTAGCAAGCATCATCATGAAAAGTGAAGCTGTCAGTTCATTATTCTGATGCCTTTCTCTCTTTATACATAATATTTTAGATGGATAAACTTTGGAGGTATCAGAAATTAAGGTTTCCCAGCAGCTTGTCCATGGCTTTGAAACGACCAAGCACTGGATACTGGAATTACCTATTGTTCTGAAGTACTATGGTATCTTTTTACATTAGCTTCCCCCAATAACATCTCTGAAGATCAGAGGGGTAGCCGTGTTAGTCTGAATCTGTAAAAAGCAACAGAGGGTCCTGTGGCACCTTTAAGACTAACAGAAGTACTGGGCGCATAAGCTTTCGTGGGTAAGAACCTCACTTCTTCAGATACAAGTGAAGAAGTGAGGTTCTTACCCACGAAAGCTTATGCGCCCAGTACTTCTGTTAGTCTTAAAGGTGCCACAGGACCCTCTGTTGCTTATCTCTGAAGATGATGAAAGTATACTTGACACACTCCCTTACCCATTTACAAGACAAATAGGGAGGCAACTGTCCTTGTGACAGAATGTTTGCTTTGTGATTTTGATTATACTCAGATACCACGGTGATGCATGTATTAAACAGTACGGTACCATGATAGTTCATCTAAAACATACATTTCAATTTCTTTGAATAGAAGACTCCTGAAATACTTCAGGAAATTATAATTTGATCTGTCATATCAGGAACAGGAAGTGAGTGTCGTATATGAGCTATCCATTCATTCTTGTAAAATGTCCTAAATTACAATTGATGAGCTGCTAAATGACTTCTGAAATTAGTTTATTTGGAGTAGTTAACCAGGCTACAACATCTTGAGCTAGTGATGTTTACCAAACTGATCACATTTACTGTTTTTGGCAATCATACCATACACTGAGAACGAGGACTCAGTTCTTGCACTCATCACCCACCGTATTAGAGCCTGATCCTGATAATCTTTACTCGCGTGACTAGTCTTTGCCCCATAGTAAGTCTCGTTGAAGTCAGAGGGATTCTCTTATGAATAAGGATTTGCAAATCCTTAATTGGTAAGCATATTTAGTGCCATTGGTGGTGTTATATATTCTGTGCATCTTCCTATTTTTAAACTGGAATAAACAGGCACTAAGGCTATGGCTACACTGACACTTTACAGCGCTGCAACTTTCTCACTCAGGGGTGTGAAAAAACACCCCCATGAGCGCAGCAAGTTACAGCGCTGTAAAGTGCCAGTGTAAACAGTGCCCCAGCACTGGGAGCCACGCTCCCAGCGCTGTAAACTAATCCCCTCGTGGAGGTGGAGTACGTGCAGCGCTGGGAGAGCTCTCTCCCAGTGCTGGCGCGTGACCACGCTCGCATTTCAAAGTGCTGCCGGGGGAGCGCTCCCGCAGCAGCGCTTTGAAGTTTCGAGTGTAGCCACGGCCTAAGTAACTATTGCTGCATGTATGTTATCAACATCACTAATCCATAGCACAGTTTGACATGATCAGCACTCTCTTCTGAAGAGAGATGTAGGCATGAAACGGATGTTGCAGGTCAGGACTGAAGAGCATTGGTAGAGTTGTGTGGCAAAATGTTACCTTACATCTTGCTGTGCTGTAGTATACTTAGCTCTTGGTAGTACTCATAAGGTTGTACTGTATTTTCATGAGCGTGACTCATGCATAGTTTAAAAAAGCCCCTAATTTCTTGACTGCCAAGATGGTTTGCAACCTTGGTGGGTTCAAAGCCATGAACAGGCTTTGTTTCACCTTTTCATGTTGATACATTGCATCATAAGCAAACAATTGTATTTGTAACAGCTACATTTTAGAACATAAAAGAAATCTTTCAAAAAGTTACATCCTGACTGCAATTCTTATAATATCAGGGTTGGAAGGGACCTCAGTAGGTCATCTAGTCCAACCCCCTGCTTATCACTATGTCGGAAACGGCGCCTGTTGCGGCTCCTGCTATCTCTGCTCCTGGGGCAAAAACCTCCGCTAAAAAAACGAAGAAGACACCAGCTAGTTCTAAAGCCCCAACCCCCTGCTCAAAGCAGGACCAATCCCCAGACAGATTTTTGCCCCAGATCCCTAAATGGCCCCCTCAATGATTGAACTCATAACCCTGGGTTTAGCAGGCCAAGTCTCCAACCACTGAGCTAGCCCTTCCCCCCCATGGCCCAAAGCAGGGGAGTGGGAGCTGGGATTTGCAGGCTGTGCAACTTAATGAGAGGTGGGTGACTCATCTGTGTGTCAGTTTACTAAGCTGTAAAATAGGTTCCCTGATCAACAGCAATGTTCTGAAGCTTAATTATTGTAAATTGCTTTGAGATCATGCAATGAAAGGTGTCTCTAAATGTAGATTGTTTTGCTTTCCCCATTTGAGTTGGAGGAGAACACAGATATGATTAACAGTCTGTTTATAGTCATACTAAGTCATTCTGTAGTATGCTTCATGTTTGGATTAGGTTGTAACTTAAACCTGAAAGCAACATTAAGTGGTGATATCTAGAACTTTGAAAATAAAACTTGGAGAAAAGGTAGGGTGGGCTATTGGGTTTTGTTTAATTAACAGGTTGATTGTGAACAATGCATATGTTATAATGCTAGCATGTTTTTGTTCAGTCATTTATGCAAATTGGTCCCATGTACAGCTCTATGATCATCTAAGATTTGATCTAACTTTCTATTTTCTGCTGCGTTTATAGCAGTTCTGTTTCCTGTTTCGTGTTGTAGGGCAGGATTTCTCAACCTGTGGG